ATGATGTGGTGGTGGCAACATCGACGAATTCCACATACGCGTATTATATTATTTTGTTGTTTTAGTTGTTTTTTCTTTTCTTTTCCAATTTTTTTCTATTCCTACTAACATTTGGGGCCTGAGAGACCAATACTGTATTTTAATTGATATATATAAACTCACTGTATTGAACACAATAACCACACTAAAGTTATTATCATATTATTGTTTACCACTGTTGTTTATTACAATAAACATGCACAAATATTGTATAATACTAATGTTCTATCATATTTTTTCATTATTTACAATCATGACATGGTTTTAGAACTGCTCGAGTTGTGGAACCCCTTGAAACAAGGCACCATGCACAGAGGCACCTTACATTCCTACACTTTAAACCGAGTGTCTTTGCGTCTTTTTTGCCGTCGTTTTGTTGTGCACAGAATGCATCTCTTCTGGCAAATTTCTTTTGGGGTTGAAGGAAGCTGTATTATGAAATGATCACCTTCTCTCTCAAACGTTTGGGGTATATCGTGATGAATTTGAGGACCATGTTGTATTGCAGGTGTTGTTACCTGTGTATTCATTATGAGTTGTCTGACAACAGACAAACAAAATTCACCTAACGGTGGTCTGTTACCAGTCTTTATTTGGTACATATTATATGCATTCAGCATTGAAATGTCCATGACATGGAAGAAAAGTTTCATGTACCACTTGTAACTCTTACGAACACAATCAACAAAACCAATTTGCATGTCACACTTGTCAACCAAGCGCATGTTTGTGTATAATCAATCACTGACACTGGTTTTCGAATACGTTCATTAGTCACTCGATCAACTTTGCCACTGTCTTGCATTTCACTACGTGAATGGTTGTCAACATGTGACATCTCGTTTGCCCAGCACCGTAATGCCATGATTCATTGGCATGTAAACACCTGCACGTCCTCACCACGAACACCTGCGTTGAGCCTGGGCATATTTTACGATTAGAACGCACTGTGCCACACACATCTGTCTTGTTCCACTCGCATGAAATCACTGAGTAATGGGCTTTGTAACCCAGTTATCGGTATATAATGTAGGCCCTTACCAAGATAAGGTGCCATCATGTTTCTCACTACGTCACCTGAGATACCCAATAAAAATCTTGGTATCTTTCAATGTTTACTACCCGTGTATACAACAATATCCAACACCAGGCCACTGTCACAATCACAGAGTACAAACAATTTTATACCCAAAACAGTTCCTCTTGCTCGGTATATACTGCTTGAATGACAGTTACCTTTGAACAAAATCAAAGACTCGTCAATACAAGATTCTTGAATGGATAAAAGTATATCCTGAACTTTTGTTTGAGATACCCTGAAAAAATTTTTTAATCTTGTATAACCTGTCACTTCTGTCAGGCCTGGTTTTGTCAGAGAAGTGCAACATATGTAACATAAGATAAACCTGTTCACTGGTATTATTTCACTGAAGGATGGGGTAAAATTAGCCGATCTGTGGACCAGTATGCTTTTATATTTTGCTTATAGACGTGAGGCATAAGCATTATTTTTGCAAAAAGCAAATACATTTCTGCAACAGTCGTCTCTTTCCACCTGTGTAGTCTTGACTGTGGTGATAAGATCATATTTGCCATGGTGTACTGAAAATACTTATTACTTTCCCTGGCAATAATTTCCATCAATGCTGGTCAAAGAATAATCAAAGAATTCCGTTCATTGGCCGTGGTTCCAAGGGGACAGGAGGTAGAATTCCACTTGGAGAGTCATCAAAGTGGGGAGGCTTGGGAAAAAAAATTGGGATTTTGCTGCCATTCCACATACGGTTTTGTGGTGGATACTGGACTCATAGGCTTTGGGTTTTACAGGTGGTTGTGGGTTTTGGCGGGCTGGTGGCTGACGCTCTTTCTTTGTCCTTGAACTGACGAGTCAGCAGCGTGGGTCCCTGCGTGGCACGGTGAGTCACGCATGGCGGTGCCACTACCACCACCAGCACCACTAACACCATCCACTGTGCCTGTGGCCCATCCATGCCAAGTGTACCACATCATCCTCACTATCACTACCTAAAACGGGTGTAGGGCCACGGGATGTACTCCGGGATGTACTCCGGGATGTACTCCATCCCCTGGGCACAGCATAGGGTACACTACCCGAGCGCATGCGGCGGCGAACCCTACCAACGCTTCACTGGTGGGAAAATGTTCCTCACTATCACTACTCGAATGATTGTCGAGCGCAATAAAATCACAATCCACGTCAGAATTTATCGTCATTACTGAAGTCAGAGGCCTGGCCACGCGAAATATTAGTTTTCTCTTTTCGTTTAGGAAAACCCCGACTGTGAGTCACGAGTGCCCACACCAAGGTAGAAGGTCGAGGATCGTCGGGGTTTCTCTGCACTATTATCGATATCCTGGTCATTATTTTCGGTCACTAACTTACCAAAGCCGTAGAATTCGTCTTCATTTTTCACTTCCATCAGTGTCAGAACTATCAGACAGGAAGAGGAGAGTCCCAATTTTCCGGGGAGTGAGAGCTGACTTGCGACGAGGTATGGTGAACAAGGGTGACTGAGCCGGCGTTCCCACAATGCTATGCAGGCGCCTAGATTTTTTGTTTATGGCGCACACCCACGGCACAGACCCATTCTCTCACATGTAGGCCTATGAGCGCTTTCGCGCTAAATTTGACGGCGCTAGAATTTTGGCGTAGATCTATGGTTTGGACACTCACCGAAAAGCCATAGATCTACGGGACGGACCCTGAAAGGGTTAAGTGCCTCATTTTGTTAATATTTTTGGGTGTCTGGAATCGATTAATTGTATTTACATTAATTCTTACGGGAAATATTATTCCAGTTTTCAGCCATTTCGGTTTTAGGCTGACCTGGAATAGATTACAGCTGATAACTGAGGGTCCACTGCACTATTATAATAATAATAATAATAATTTTAATAATAATAATAATAATAATAATAATTACATGTAATAATAATAATAATAAAAGCAATAATAATAACGAGAGCTTCAGGACGCCATCAACTCAGTGCACTGTTTATCTCGGTGTGGGAGTATTTCTCTCATGTTTTGCTTACATTTTTTTACAGCCATCTGGTCAAATTTCATTTTTCTAAGCATGGGCCCTAAGAAAGTAAGTGTAAAGGACAGTGCTGAGAAGAAAAAGATGATGATTTCCATGGAATTAAAGCATGAAATCATAGATAAACAAGTGAGGACTGCAGGTTGAGGGGGAAGTGGGGGTAGCTGGCTCGTAACTCAGAGCAAAAAATCAACCGAGCGACGGCTTGTATCTCAAAAAACTCGTATGTTGGGACACTCATAAGTCAAGGTTCCACTGTACTGTACTTTTTCTAAACTACGTACATTTTTTTTTTTTCAACAAGTCGGCCTTCTCCCACCGTAACTGTAATTATTTTATATTGAACTGCTCTATGGGCTTTTTTAGATTCCCTAATAGAATATAAATTTCTTTTGTACTCATTGAACTCATCTAATTACCAGATGAATGTTATTTTTGGGTTTTTTTTATTAATCTTAACTTAAAAAAATTTTCCCCAAAATTCTCTGCATAAAAGGGGCTTTTGGCAGGGAACACCTATTATATTCCTTTGTAAACCCAAATGTATCATTCAAATAAAAAATTTAATTTTTAATTATTATTTTTTAAATAAAAGCACCAAAAAATCCAAAAAAAACACCCCCACCTTTTTTAAAACATTGTTTTTCTTTATCCCATAAACCCAGCTGCCTTACCCTCTTTCTTTTCTCCCCATCCCCTCACAAACTTCCCCCACATCCCACAACTGGTTTTTTCCTCCCTCAACAAGATTTTTTATTCCCCCTTGCCCTATCCCATGAATCACAGCTTCCCTATCTTCATAACATTTAACAATTCTCAAAAATATTCCCTCCACCCCCCCCAAAACCCTCTAACTTTCCATTTAATGGGCTCTCCTCTCCTTTTTTTTAATTTTCGAATCCTTTGCCCCTGGGTTTTCCCCTAAAATTTTTAAATTTTTTTTCCCAAAGCTTTTTTTTATTTTCACAAATTTTTGTTGAAAACATCTCCCCCCTTTTTCTCGTTTTTGCTCTTTTTTTACAGGGTTTTCCCCACCCTTTTAACCTCTTTTCCCCCCCTATATACTCCTCCCTCCCTGCATCATTTTTTACTTTGTAAAAGCCCCCTAATTGCTAACTTTTTCTCTCTTACTACTCTTTTTAACATCTTCTTTCCACCACTCGCTTTTATCCCCTCCGTCCCAAATTTTCCGTAACCAAAAAATTCTGCTGAACATTCTAACACTGCATTTTTAAAACCCCAACCCCCATACATTTTTTCCCCCTTTGCCTATACCTCACTACCCCTTTTACCCTCCAACAGTTGTTTATATTTTTCCCCTAACGTCCCCTCCTTTGGGCCTTAAAAACCTCCACCTCCTCATATTTGTGCTTCCATTTTCCTTGTAACCCATCACCTTTTACTCTCACTGTAGCTAAACAAAAAAGGGTGTTTCTGATTATCTGTGGCCCCTCTATAAACATTTAAATTTGAAAATATATGAAAATTTTAAGATATGAAAGATCATGATAGAAAATATTCATTTGGGGTGTTCTGTCAAACTAGCAGCATATGAATTAATACCGGTTTTTTTATTTATGGTTTTCCCCCAGCATGAGTTGTTTGTAAAAGGGAAAATTTAATTTATTTGGGGAAATAGTCCAAAGTTTTTTCGGTTATAATTCAAAATTACATCATGGGTTGATGTGGTACAAAAAGAATGTCATCAGTAGGCAAGAGAGGAAGAGTGTCATCAGTTGGCAAAAGAGAAGTGAAAGTTTATATATAAAAGGAAAAATAGTTAGGGTTAAGTATGAATATCAAAATAGTATACAATATCGACAGGTTGGTAAGTAAGACACATAGGCAACAGTTAAGCATCTTTAATACGTTTTTAATCCAAAATGTTTCGCCTACACAGTAGGCTTCTTCAGTTGAGTACAGAAAGTAGGCAGGAGCAGTAGAGATGTGAAGATGATGTAATCAGTCTATCACCCTTGAAGATGTAGACTTGAGGTTGTCAGTCCCTCAGCCTGGAGAAGAGTTCTGTTCCACAGTCTGAAACAATGTGAAGATCTAGCGATAGTGTGGAGACCTATATACTGTTTGAAGGAGAAGTGTAGAGTAGAAGAAGATTACATTCTTTTTTCAGACTATGGAACAGAACTCTTATCTGGGCTGAGGGACTGACAAGCTCAAATCTATGTCTTCAAGGGTGATGGACTGATTACATCATCTTCACATCTCTACTGCTCCTGCCTACTTTCTGTACTCAACTGAAGAAGCCTACTGTGTAGGCAAAACATCTCAGATTAAAGATGCCTAACTGTTGCTTATGTGTCTTACTTAGGTAAAGCGTAAGCAAATACTGGATGAAAGGCAGGCTAGAAAGAGTACAGGTAATAAGGAGGGGGTAAAGGAGGTATGGGGAAAATTTAGGAATGCAGTGCTAGAGCATGCAGCAGAAGTGTATGGGAATAGGAGTGATTGGTGGAATTACAAGGTAAAGAGGGTGGTAAGGAAGGAAAAAGTTGACATATAAAAATTACATATTCTACAATTTAGAATACAGTGGACCCTCGCCTAACGCTATTAATCCGTTCCTGAGAGCTCAATGTTAGGCGAAATTATCATTAGGCGAATTAATTTTCCCCATAAGAAATAATGGAAATCAAATTAATCCGTTCCTGACACCCCAAAGTATGAACAAAAAAAAATTTTAACACATGAAATATTAATTTTAATACACACAAACTGAAGAAGACATGCACAGTTACATGACACTTACCTTTATTGAAGATCTGGTGATGATTGATGGGATGGGAGGAGGGGAGACTGTGGATGGTGTTAATGTTTAGAAGGGGAATCCCCTTCCATTAGGACTTGAGGTGGCAAGTCCTTTTTTGGGGTTACTTCCCTTCTTCTTTTAATGCCACTAGGACCAGCTTGAGTCACTGGACCTCTGTTGCACAACATATCTGTCCATAGAGGCCTGTACCTCCCGTTCCTTTATGACATTCCTGAAGTGTTTCACAACATTGTCAGTGTAATAGTCACTGGCATGGCTTGCAATAGCTGTGTGAAGGTGATTTTCATCAAAAAAGGTTTGCACTTTAAGCCACATTGCACACATTTCCTTAATCTTTGAAGTAGGCAACTTCCTCAGTTTCTCTATCCCCTCCTCTGAAGCAGTTTCCTCAGGTGTGGCCTCTTGCTGTTGAAGATGATCTTGCAGCTCATCAGTGGTTAGTTCTTCATTGTCCTCCTCCACCAACTCTTCCACATCCTCCCCACTAACCTCCAACCCCAAGGACTTCCCCAATGCCACAATGGATTCCTCAACTGGCATAGGATTCCCAGGGTTAGCCTCAAACCCTTCAAAATCCCTTTTGTCTACACATTCTGGCCACAGTTTCTTCCAAGCAGAGTTCAAGGTCCTCTTAGTCACTTCCTCCCAAGCCTTACTTATAATGTTTACACAATTGAGGATGCTAAAGTGATCTCTCCAAAACTCTCTTAGATTCAATTGAGTTTCTGAGGTCACTACAAAGCACCTTTGAAACAGCTTTTGTGTACAGTTTCTTGAAGTTGGAAATGACCTGCTGGTCCATGGGCTGCAGGAGAGGAGTGGTATTAGAAGGCAAAAACTTGACCTTAATGAAGCTCATTTCTGCAGAAAGTCGCTCTGCCACGTCTGAAGGATGACCAGGAGCATTGTCTAATACCAGGAGGCACTTAAGGTCCAATTTATTTTCCAGGAGGTAATTTTTCACAGTGGGGGCAAATGCATGGTGTAACCAGTCATAGAAAAGGTCTCTAGTGACCTATGCCTTACTGTTTGCCCTCCACATCACACACAAATTAGCCTTGAGGACATTGTTTTTCCTGAACACTCTGGGAGTTTCAGAGTGATACACCAATAAAGGCTTCACTTTGTAATCACCACTAGCATTAGCACACATCAACAGAGTAAGCCTGTCTTTCATAGGCTTATGTCCTGGGAGTGCCTTTTCCTCCTGAGTAATGTAGGTCCTGCTTGGCATTTTCTTCCAAAACAGGCCTGTTTTGTCACAAACACTTGTTCAAGTTTCAATTCTTCACTGTCTATGTACTCCTTGAATTCCTTCACATATTTTTCAGCTGCTTTTTGGTCCGAACTGGCAGCCTCACCATGCCTTATCACACTATGTATGCCACTACAATTCTTAAATCTCTCAAACCAACCTTTGCTGGCCTTAAATTCACTCACATCACCACTAGTTGCAGGCATTTTTCTAATTAAATCGTCATGCAACTTCCTAGCCTTTTCACATATGATCGCTTGAGAGATGCTATCTCCTGCTATCTGTTTTTCGTTTATCCACACCAATAACAGTCTCTTAACATCTTCTTTCACTTGCGATCTCTGTTTCAAAAACAAAGTTGCACCTTTGGCAAGAACAGCTTCCTTGATTGCCATTTTCTTGGTCACAATAGTAGCGATGGTTGATTGGGGTTTTGTGTACAACCTGGCCAGCTCGGAGACATGCACTCCACTTTCATACTTAGCAATGATCTCTTTCTTCATATCCATAGTAATTCTCACCCTTTTTGCTGTAGGGTTGGCACTAGAAGCTTTCTTGGGACCCATGGTGACTTATTTTGAAGGTGCAATCACTAAAAAGGCTGTGATAATATGAAATATTGCGATTGTATGCTTGGAAGCGACCGCGCTGGCTGGCTTGTAAACACTGGCACCCACGGAACAAGTGAGGCAGGCTCAGGCCGCATGTGGACGCGTCTCGGACGAATTGCGTTGAGCGAATTTTTTAGCGCTAGCCAAGGCAAAATTTTTGCCTTAAAATGTATCACTAGGCGGATTTATCGTTATGCGATGTGTTCGTTAGGCGAGGGTCCACTGTATAAGGAGGTACGAATATATGGAGAGTAACAAAGCTCAAAAGAGTAGCATAGAAGGTTAAATGAGAGTGTGGGAGAGGTTTTATCAGCAAATTTTCCTGAGAAGTAAGAAAAAGTTAAGGAGGTAAAGGTTGGCCATCACTAATCCGGCATCATTGGGACCTGTATTGTGCCGGATTAGTAAGTTTGCCAATTACAGAGTGGTTAGGATAGAATACACTTAATTAACCTGTCAATAGAGACTCATTTTACTACATATTCATTTTCATCACTGCTTTCTGTTCCACTGGCTTGCTGATGTGGATTTACAACCAGCTGCGCAATTTCTGAGTGGGTATGATGATGAAATTTGAGTCAGTATAATGATCTCAGTCAGTATAGTGATGAAATTTGAAATTATGAGAGCCGACATTAGTGCCAGATTACTGATAGAACTGGATAACTGATTGCCGGATTAGTGATGGCCAAACTGTACTACCATCCTGCTAAGCGAGTGTAAAACGGTAGCCTGTAATTGTTTTACATGATGGTAGGATTGCTGGTGTCTTTTTTCTGTCTCATGAACATGCAAGGTTTCAGGTACGTCTTGCTACTTCTACTTACACTTAGGTCACACTACACATACATGTACAAGCATATATATACACACCCCTCTGGGTTTTCTTCTATTTTCTTTCTAGTTTTTGTTCTTGTTTATTTCCTCTTATCTCCATGGGGAAGTGGAACAGAATTCTTCTTCCTTAAGCCATGCGTGTTGTAAGAGGCGACTAAAATGCCGGGAGCAAGGGCCTAGTAACCCCTTCTCCTGTATAAATTACTAAATTTAAAACGAGAAACTTTCGTTTTTCTTTTTGGGCCACCCTGCCTTGGTGGGATACAGCCGGTTTGCTGAAAAAAAAAAATTGCAAGATTTCAGATCCATCTTGCTACTTCTACTTGCACTTAGGTCACACTACACTTGCATGTACAAGCATATATATACACACCACTCTGGTTTTTTCTATTTTCTTACTAGTTTTTGTTCTTGTTTATTTCCTCTTATCTCCATGGGGAAGTGGGACAGAATCCTTCCTCCGTAAGCCATGCGTGTCATAAGAAGCAACTAAAATGCTGGGAGCAAGGGGCTAATAATCCCTTCTGTATACATTGCTAAAGTTAAAAAGAGAAACTTTTTTTTCTTTTTGGGTCACCCTGCTTTGGTGGGATACGGCTGGCTTGTTGAAAGAAGATGAAAGAAGAAAAAGTTAAGATGAGAAAGCTTAGTGACCAAATGGATTTAATAATTAAAACCAAGAGTAAGAGATGGGGAGATGGAGGTACAGGGAAGATGAAGGGAATATTTTGAGGAAATGTTGAATGCTGATGATGAGAGGGAAGCAGTGATTTCTTGCAATGGGCAGGGAAGTGAAACACCTTTTAGGAGGAAGAACTAGATGAGAGTCTGGAGAGGTGCATGAGGCAGTGGGTAGAATGAAAGGGGGCAAAACAGCTAGGGTAAACTGAATTAAGACAAAGGTAAAAGAAGGTGGTTGGTGCATCTGATCAAAGGGAAATTACCTAAGGATTGACAGAGAGCATTCATAGTTCCTGTGTTTAAGGGGAAAAAGAGGATAAAAGAGAATACAAGAATTATAGGGGAATAAGCCTGTTGAGTATATAAGCAGTGTATAAAAGAGTTGTTTTTGAAAGAATTATGGGTACGACAGAGAGTAGAACTGCAAAGAAACAAGAAAGAGTAGTGGTTGTGTAGACCAAGCATTTACACTGAAGCACATAGGTGAAAAATACTTAAAGGTAAGAAACTTTTCATTGCATTTATAGATTTACAAAGGATAGGGAAGTAATGTGGCGGATGTTGCAAATATATGGAATAGGTGGAAGGCTACCTAAAGCAGTGAAGGGCTTTTATAAGTATAGTGAGCTGCAAGTCAGGGTATGTAGGAGAGAGATTATTTTCCAGTAAAAGTATGCCATCGACAGGGATGTGTGATGACATCATGGTTGTTTAACATATTTATAGATGGAGTTGTATATAAAATGAATGCCATGGAGTTGGGAAAAGTGTGGGATTGAAAAGTAGTGAATCTGGTACAGAGTGGGAACTGTCGCAGTTGCTTTTTGTCAGTGATATGGTTATATTGGTTGATTCAGAGAAGCTG